TTTTTTTTTTTTTTTCGAACTTTGTTCCGTCCTTGGTCCTCCTCCTCTTCTTCTTCTTCTTCTTCTTCTTCTTCTTCTTGGCAGCTCCACGTGGCAGCTCGGGAGTGCACACCACGTGGCAGATCGGCAATGTGTGTGTGTGTGTGAGAGAGAGAGAGAGAGAGAGAGAGAGAGAGAGAGAGAGAGAGAGAGAGAGAGAGAGACTTAGCGATTTTATTTTTTTTCCATCCTCGGTTCTCCTCCTCCTCCTCCTCCTCCTCCTCCTCCTCTTCTTCTTCTTCTTGGCAGCTCCACGTGGCAGATTGGCAGTGTGTGTGTGTGAGAGAGAGAGAGACTTAGCGATTTTTTTTTTTTCCATCCTCGGTCCTCCTCCTCCTCCTCCTCTTCTTCTTCTTCTTCTTCTTCTTCTTCTTCTTCTTCTTCTTGGCAGCTCCACGTGGCAGTTCGGGAGTGCACACCACGTGGCAGATCGGCAGTGAGAGAGAGAGAGAGAGAGAGAGAGAGAGAGAGAGAGAGAGACTTAGCGATTTTTTTTTTTCCATCCTCGGTCCTCCTCCTCCTCCTCCTCCTCTTCTTCTTCTTCTTCTTCTTAGCAGCTCCACGTGGCAGCCCGGGAGTACACACCACGTGGCAGATCGGCAGTGTGAGAGAGAGAGAGAGAGAAAGAGAGTTAGCGAGTTTTTTTTTTTTCCCATCTACAATCCTCCTCCTCCTCCTCCTCCTCCTCCTCCTCCTCCTCCTCCTCTTCTTCTCCACGGAGATCATGTCTTCCTCGTGCGGCCCCTCTGGCAGCAAGGACGATTGTGGCCGCATGGGCGATGATGGAGGCAAGGGCAAAGGCGGCAGCAAGGGCAAAGGTGGCAGCAAGGGCAAGGGGGCCAACGACAAACCGCCATTTGATCCTGCACCGTAAGCAAAGCAGATGGAGCTGGAGAAGAACAAACCAGCGTACAAATGGGTGCTGCGTGGAAAGGAGGCGGAACCTTTGGGGTATGGCAACTATTGGCACAAGTGCAAGCTCTGTGGCCGGTTGTGGACAGCGTCATACATACGTGTTGTCGGCCATTTCACAGCGAATAGAGAGAGACCCATGTCCCGGGCGGACCAGGGAGATCCTCCATATCCTAGCGAGCAAGGGGGCGAAGATTGACTGTCCCAACACACGTAGAATCATCCAACTGTACCGACGGGAGAACGACATCGCAGACTATTCGAATGCACAACCTGTGGTGGACGCTGCGGAGGAAGAAACCTTGGCGGACTTCATCGTGCCCCTGCCGGCACCAGGCAGAGAGGCAATTGGCGAGAGTGCAGATGGGGCTTGTGGGGTAACAGATGACAGATCAAACATTCCTGAGGGGGGGGCGGGCCCATCGGCTGAGGGATCTGCAACAGCACGACCGTCTGCCAAGTTGCAACAAGCTTCCATCCGACGGTGGACAAAAAACACCTCGCAGCAGCGCTTGGACATCGCGTGGGGGTTTCATTTGTACGAGCACGGGGCTCCCTTCAACTACGTGACCGGGGAGAAGACGCACGAGCTCCATGAGTTGTACTTGGAGCTGGGGGAGAAGAAGCGAAGGGTGAAGATGCCGAACAGAATGCAGATGGCCACAATTGTCCTCGACATTGCATACGAACGGACAAGAAAGTCGATGAGGCCGCTGATGGAGGGATGGGACGTCACAGGCTGCACACTGATCACAGACGGGTGCACGGATCGCAAGTTCCGACCCGTCATGAACTTCATTGCAGCCGGCGAGAGAGGACCTGTTTTGCTGAAGGTGGTCGATATGTCGAAGAGAAAGAGGACTGCAATCGCGTTGGCAAAGTTGTGGGAGGGGGTGATCCGTGAGATCAGTGCGCAAAAAGTGAATGCTTTGTGCACAGATAACGCCGAGGTGAACAAGCATGCGGCCAGGTTGTTGAGGAGGCGAACAAATCTCAACATCTCACGGATTCCATGGGTGCCTTGCGCGGCTCATTGCCTCAACTTGCTTCTCAAGGGAATCAGCGGCGAGCCATGGGTCCACGAGTTGTACAAGAGGGGCAAGACCATTGTCAAGTGCATCAAGAACCACCACAAGACWRCRCAGATGTTCCTTGACAGCTCGGAGATGGAACGGACCAGGACACTCATCATGCCTACGGACGTGCGGTTTGCCTCCGTGTATCTCATGTTAGAGAGGCTGTTCGACCGGAAGAAGGTGCTGAAGAACATGATGAAGGAAGGGTGGCTGGACATCAAGTGGTCTTCGAGGAAGAAGTGCAACATTTCTGATGCTGTGTACACGACAATTCGCTCTGACGATTGGTGGAGGGAGATGGAGGCGGCCGTGGATGTCATGTACCGGTGTACGATCTGTTGCGGAAGATGGACAAGAGCGGGACCGCCCCGTACCAGTTGTGGGGCTTCGAGGATGCGTTGATAAAGCGGATGGCCACCATTCCCAGCATCACACYGGCGCGGCAGGAATCCATCGCGAAGAAAKTAAGGAAGCGYTGCAAAATGATGCGCCAGCCGGTGCATGCAGCAAACTTCCTCTTCAACCSYGCGAAGYGCGACCCTCGATGGATGCAAGACCCCAGGTGCCCGCTTGTGCAGAACACCATGAAGTTTTTGMTRTCTCAATGCGAGGAGGGGGCRRTATGGGGGTGCAAGGACCAGCTCCTGMTGYGGGAAGATTTGAAAGTGTTCCACAAAGRGCCGCAGGGGAATTCGAGCCTGCCACCCSCTAAGCAAGACARTTTCTGGACAGACTTYGCGAAGTTCRACAGCARCCTTAMGAAGCACACCTCTTCAGATTGGTGGGGGTGCMACGGGAAGAGTCACYCGAAACTGCAGCGCATTGCAGTTCGTGTGACAGCGATGTGGAGCACGGCCACACCGTGCGAGCGCAASTGGTCCACTTTGGACCTCGTGCATGAGAAGAGGAGAAACCAGCTTTCCAGCGACACTATAAACAAGCTTGTTTATGTGCACTGGAACCTGCAGTTGTTGAAGGTGAAGAAGAAGAAGGCAGGGGGCTTCATCGACATGTGGGCTGATTTCTTTGGTGTGGACGGTCCTCTGCCCGCTGCAGATCCTGACATTCTTCCCGATGACGCGCTCCCGTCAGCGGAAGAGGTGGCTCGACGGGATCGCCTGAGGAAGGCGCTGTACGGGAGAATTCCAAAGGTGGGGAGGGTGGACCAGTCCAGCGGGACCGACAGCAGCGATGATGGGGAGGATCTGGTATGGCGGGGGAAGGGGAACAAAAGACAGGGGATGGAATGTTTGGATGCTCCACCGGAGGGGAAGGGTAAAGCGCAAGTCGATTACGAATATTATGGAGGAGGAAGAAGAGGAGGATGAATATGACGACATGGAGTTTGGACTTCGAGGGAGCGTGGACTCTGACGAAGAGCACAACGACGACGACGATGAGGATGGGGATGCTCTTACGATGGGGCAACCAACAGGTCACTGGGATAGCGATCTGGAGTTCTTGATGCCTCGTTCTGAAGTCCGACAGCGAGCCACGGATGATGATGACGAGGCCGTGAGAGCGATGGCACAAGCACTTGCAAAGAGAGATCATGCCATCGTGATGCAGCGTGTGGAGGAGGAGGAAGCGAGGCGTGTGGCTGTTCCCCGTCGAACCGTAGGAAAAGGAGGGGACCCAGGGGAGGGACGTGGTGCTGCGCAAACGGAAACAGGAAGTGTGGCCGTTGAAGCAGGAGGTGGGCAACAGACCGAAGCGGCGTTGGAGGGGACAGCGTCCGGATCACGAACGCACCGTGAATTGACCGAAAAGACACAACAAGGTTGTAATCCATCCGCCGAACAGAACGAGGAAGCACAGGAAGAGGGTCACGGTGCCCTCCGAAGAGTCTCAGCCAGACTTCCCTCCTTTGCTTGCTGAATTGTAGAACGACAACCTAGAGAAGAGCACGGTGGGAAGGAAGAGGAAGGAGGTGGAACAGATTGCACCAATCGCTGCGGCAAAGAGGGGACGGGGAAGACCTCGGAAACAACGACCTGAGACGGTGTGTGAACCGGAAGATTTGCCCTCTCGCAGAGAACGGAAACAGCGGGCGGCAAAGAAGAACCCGCATGTCATTGAAGATGATGACGAGGCCACGGATCAATCGGGGGACAACAGCGGCAGCGGCGACGACGACCCCGGCTCGGGGAATGAATGGTGTTAGATGATGAGAGAGAGAGAGAGAGAGAGAGAGAGAGAGAGAGAGAGAGAGAGAGAGAGAGAGAGAGAGAGAGAGAAACTGATATGCGCGGACCGGGGTTTGAATGTGTTTGCAAATTTTGAAACAGTCTGGAGACTCCGCAAAACTCAGCAGTCTGTATGCATGGTTTTCAGGGTTT